AGAGTAGGGGAGCTGAGGGCGTTAATATCAGATCCTTCCTATATTTTTTTATGTGGCTAATGTCTGCCTTTGTCCCCATCCAAATTTTCTTATGAAAGTGGTCTCCACTTTTCATATTAACCAAGCAATTTTCTTGCTGACTTTCCCAAAGCCTCACAATAATAAGGGAGAGGAGAGACTGCACATTCTAGACGTTAGAAGAGCATTAGCATTTTATCTGGAATGGGCTAAATCTTTCAGGTATTCATTTCAATTGTTTGTTGCATTTGTGAACAGAATGAAGGGCAGTCAGGTTTCCACGCAAAGGGTTTCGTCATGGATACCAGTTGTATTCACCTGGGTTACCAGTTGGCTAATATGAAGCCACCAGAGAGAGTATTGGGTCATTCAACTAGATTCCCAAGCATCCTCTGTGGCATTTTTGGCTCACATGCCCATATTAGACATTTGCAAAGCAACAACCTGATCGTCATGTCACTTGTTTGCCTCTCACTGTGCAATCTGTCAACACTCTAGAGATGTTACATTTGGACAAGTTGTCCTCCAATCCCTGTTTAAATAGACTCAACACCCACCTCCAGATGGGACAGCTTGTGAGTCACCAGCAGTGGAATGGACATGTGCAATCACTTGAAAAAAAACAAACAAACAACAGTTACTAAACTTACCGTAGTTGTGGTAATTTTCGCGACAGCATTGCACTGGCGTTCATGTTTGAATTATCTGTGATGATCCTTTAATGCTTTTCAGTCACTGCTTTCCAGAATACAGTCTCCCATGGTCTGTGTGACGGGTTCAGTCAGAGACCCCCTTGGGACTGTCACCTGATGTGCTGGAATTACCTCTGAGCCTGTCTTCCCTGCCAGCTTGGGATTCCAGAACCCTGCCTTGTTGAGCCAGACATGCTAGCCTGCTGCAACACAGACCCAGGTCTGGTCCACGCTCCCAAAGTTGCAGACTTTAACCAAAAACTACTCAGCAGGTTTCCGATCTCCAGTACCTAGCTCCCAATGGGATCCAAACCCCAAATAAATCCGTTTTACTCTGTATAAAGCTTTGACAGGGTAAACACATAATCTAGAACATTGATAGAGAGATATGCACAGCTGTTTGCTCCCCCAGGTATTAATCACTTATTCTGGGTTAATTAATAAACAAAAGTGATTTTATTGAGAATAAAAAGTAGAATTTAAGTGGTTTCAAGCAATAACAGACAGAATAAAGCAAAAACATGCAAGTCTAAGACTAATACATTAAGAAAGTGAATACAGGTAAAATCTCACCCTCAGAGATGTTCCAATAAGCTTCTTTCACAGACTAGACTCCTTCCTAGTCTGGGCCCAATCCATTCCCCTGGTACAGTCCTTGTTAGTTCCAGCAGACATCATAGGTAGAAACTAAGGGTGTTCTTAAGACTGGTATCCCCCTTTGTTCTGTTCCACCCCCTTTTATATCTTTGGCACAAGGCAGGAATCTTTTGTGTCTCTGAGTCCCCACCCCTCCTTCTAAATGGAAAAGGACCAGGTTTAAGATGGATTCCAGTATCAGGTGATATGTTCACATGTCCTGTGAAACCCCAGCCTCCATTCTTGCAGGCCTGGCCCGCATGCACCCAGGAAGGTGTGCAAGTAAACAGATCATTTACAACCAATTGTCATAGTAAATGGGAGCCATCAAGCTTCCAAACCACCGTTAATGGCCCACACTTCGCATAATTACAATAGGACTTCAGAGTTATACTTCATATTTCTATCTTCAGATATATATGATACATGCATACAAATAGGAGGAATATATTCAGTAGATTATAAACTTTGTAATGATACCTTAAAAGAGACCTTTTGCATAAAGCATATTCCAGTTACATCATATTCACACTTATAAGCATATGGAGTGCAACGTCACACTCGGTGTGTGGTCTGTGTAGCCTTATCTATAGCTGTGGGTTACTTTAACCAATTACCTACCCAAAGTGAGGTTTACACCTACTTTAATATGTGAGAATTCAGCCCCCAAGGTCAACTATAGGAGCAATAGAAGTGGGACTTTATGGTGTAGAGCAGAGACTACATAGTGCTGTGTCTATAGTAATTACTATTACTAATCAACCAAACAACAATACGTGCTGCAGTCTGGTGAAGGAGAGAGAGACCAACACAGAACTCACAGTATTTGCATTATTCACACCATTCCTTGTGGGAAAACCCAAAGTATTAGTCATCATTCTCATCATCATCCTTACCACCAGTGGTCATCATCCTGGTGTCTCCCCCTGCAAGGCATGCAGACTGGGATACAGCTTGGATAATGGGTTAACGGCGACACCCACTGAAATTCATATTTATTTATGAAGGTTTTAACTCCTTTTCCCTATTTGAACTTCCACAGCCCTCTACTTTTCAGGTGCTCTGTTTTTCATAGGCTAACTTGTTAGTGAGTGTAAGGGGAACTCACATTTACCTCACCTTATCAACATAGTAACAGGCAGTTATCTGAAGGAAGTCTCTAATATTTCGCCCTGCCTCCCAAACATAGATGTAGGCTCAGCAGGTTTTATTATGAACTTACTTATGCTAACTTACTTACTTATCTTTATAGTGTAGTTAACTTATCCTGAGGTCTAAAATAAGCTGTAGGACTAAGTCCTAGGACTTGGCAAAGCTAAATGTCTTAAAGGCCTGAGGCCTGTAGGCCCTACGTTACAACATTAACATTCACCTTAATAGCCTAAATACACCTGATACCTTTTTTACTTGGCTATACCTGTCTTTGTTCCTAAACATGTGCCTTTGCATTTTGCTGTATTAAAGCGTGTATTGTTGGATTCCACCTGACTCACCAGGAGTTCTGAACACTTTATATGTGACTTCTCCTCATGGTTTACCACTCCACCAATTTTTGTATCATGTGCTTACTTTATCAGCAGTGATTTTACTCTCACTCTTGATAAAAATACTAAATAACACTGAGTCAAGTACCAATCTCTGCATAACCCTACTAGAAACACCCCCAGTAATTAATTCCTTATTAACAGCACACTTTGAGATCTGTCAGACAGATTGTAATCCATTTAACACAGGCCATATTGATTTTGTATAACTTTAGTTTTTTATTCTGAATGTCATGCAATGTACGTTGAACTCCTTACAAAGTCTGAGTATACTAGGTCAGCACAGTTATCTTTTTCAGCCAGACTTGGAATCTTGTCAAAGAGCAATATCAAGTTTAATAATACCTATTGTCCAGGAGATCATGTTGATTGCTATTCATTTATATTTCTGTTCTTTAATTCAGGATCAGTGTCAGGTTAACTGACCTAGAGTTACCCACATCATTTCAGCTATCCTTTTTAAATACCGGCAAAATGGGTTTCTTCTAACCCTCTGGAACTTCCTCAGGTTTCCAAAATTTGTTAAACATTAATAACCAAGCTCCTCTCCCAACCCCTTTACAATTTTTCTGTACAAGTTATCCAGAGAAAATGTTTAACTTTAATAGTAGATATGTTTAGCATTCTCCTTAGCAACTGTCATATGATATTGATATATTGTTCAAACTGGATCCAAATACAGAAAAGAAATATTTATTAAACTCATCTTTTTCTGCTTCATTGACAATATCACCCCTAATAATGGATCTAGAGTGCTAGACCATTGCTAGAATTGCTTTTGTTCCTGATACATTAATAAATGCCTTAACCGTACTGGCTATAGATATTTTGTTGATATACCTTTTGGTTCAGTTATTAATTGATTGTATTTCTTAACTTCTTATTTATATAATTGCTATTCAGCTCCTTTTCCCCATCTATGTAATGATTTTTAGTTTTAGTTTTATTGCTGCTTTCATGTTACTCTTAACCAAGATGAGGCAGGTGAGGTACTATCTTTTATTGGACTAATATTATCTCACCCTCCTTGTCTCTCTAATATCTTGGGATCAACAAGCCTACAACAACAGTCTTAACCAAGATGACTTGTTAATCAAACAGCCTTTTCTCTGATAGGGAATTGTAACTTTTTGGGAAGCAAGTGAAATGTTCTTAAACAACCTCCAACTTTCATTCATGATTCTCTATTTAAATTTTTCCTCCCAGTCAATTCAGCAAATTAATTTTGGCTTTGAGAAATTCGCCACTGGAAAGCTGCATATATGTATGTAACTAGTTGAGTGTATTCTGTTTGCTCAACACAGATGTAACCAACTCTCAATCACTTATGCCTGGACAGCCACTACTTTTTAGGTCAGTGATCAAATTCTTTCTGTCAGAATGAGATTTCCTATAGAGTCACACTCTGGGAGCAATAATTCCTGTGTTACAAATGTTAGAAACTCCAAAGATGTTTCACCAGTGTATGTCCCCTGCTGTAATGTAGTATTTTTTTTCTACAGTTAATAAATGCACATCCTTTTCTCTGGACTTATCTGAGGGTCTGTAATAGACTGCCATCAGTAACCAGTCTGGTTAATAGATTTTAAGATCAGAGTGGACAATTATGATAATCCAATATGATCTGCATTACACAAGCTATAAAATTGTACTTATTTGTTTCCCCCTTTTTTGTCTTTTGTTGTACAATAAGATTGTTAGCTGTTTGGAGCAGGGACTGTCTTTTCCTTCTCTGTCTATGAACATCTGACAAAATTCCTTTTGCTTTAAGCCTAACTTCAGCAGTAACCACCCTTGTGCAAGAAACTGCCTTTATTTATTGCCACTGTAGAATGCTCTGCACAGCTGTGAGCAATAGAAATTGTGGGTGTTGATGTAGGTGTTGTGGGTGGAAAGAAAGAGGCTGGCTGCCTACATCCAGGAAAGGATGGCTCATCAAACAGTCATCACTGGAGCAAGAGAGGAACGGGATGGGTTCATTTTGAAGATAAGAAAGAAATGGCAGGGAACTGTTTTGGAATGGGACACAGATAACCTGTATGAGGGCATGGGAAGGTGGTTCCAGATGCCTAGGATGAGCATATTCATTTTCATACATCTTTTTTGGTAGGCATTTGAAAAGGATGCAAGTATGTTGCAGTCACAGAAGAAGAAAACTACTGTAGCTCTTAAAGACTGTATAGAACTCTTTACTACAATGGAAACGCTTGGTGAACATGACCCTTGGTAAGTTTACCACCCAGCTGCTTGGCAGCCATCTTACTTGGACTGTCTTTATATATACTATAAAATAACAATATTGTTTGGGTAAAGATTTCCCCCAACTGCTCTTTCTGTGCGCCTTAGTTTCCTACCCCTGTTCTCACAGCCACAGCTTTGCCACTGCACCTCCGTCCTCAGCAGCAAGAGGGGAATGTTACCTTAACAAAAAAAAAAAACCCAATTAGCCTTTAGAAAGCTGCTGTAGTTATTATCCTTAGGCTCTGTGTAGTTCTGCCACCTCAAACTTGACCTTCAGCACCTCATGCTGTTGTAGTCCTAACACCCAATCCTGTATGGTTCTCTCACTCTACCTCATTTCTTACCAGGTGGAAGCAGGCTGGACTGGTGCTCTCTAACACAATACTACCTTTGTTCTAGTGCTCCAGTAAAATTGACAAAACGTCTTACCTTCAGAAACTCGGAAATGTAGTCACTTTCACTCTGCCACTTGGGCAGGGTGGAGCAGAGGGGAGGATTGGAAAGGAAGCAAAAAAGGACAGAAGACAAGACAGGAAGAGGAGAGTGGGGAAAGACGTCCTGAAAATACAGTGCTCCAGGAGTTTTTCTTACAGGTCATCCCCCAGAAGAGGAGAGAGCTTCTGAGCAATGGCATTTAGGTAGCAGTAGGTGGGAACATGGTGAATGCGAGAAGGCAGCGGAGAGGATGTACTGGGGGAAGAAGAGATTGTATATGTGAGGGGAAAAATCAGAGTAATGTTCTCAAAGCCTATTTATATAAAAAAAAAAAAAAAAAGACAAAGGTGACTGCAGCCTGGGATAGGGATAGGCATTTTATATGTTACTCAAAAAATACTGTTTGTAAAGGGGTTTGAGACCCTTGGCTAGAAGGCAGATATCGAAGGTGTTTCATGCCTATTTATGCTCCTTTCTCAGGTACTGCCCTAACTGCAAGAAGCATCAGCAGGCCACAAAGAAGTTTGATCTATGGTCTTTGCCCAGGATTTTGGTGGTGCATTTAAAACGTTTCTCATACAACAGATACTGGAGGGATAAACTTGACACTGTGGTTGAATTCCCCATCAGGTAGTGTTCTTTACCAGCAAGTCACAACTGGGCAGAGCAAGAAACTCCACTTTTGATGTAGCGATTGTATGGGCTCCTCATTGGAGACATAGCTCAGGATAGGATTCTGCCTCCAGTGACACAAGCCAGTAGACCTTAGTGAAGCTCTAGTAACTGTCTCTGGAAAGGGGGTGCTACCGGCACCTGTGATACCTGGACCTATGACGGTGCAGAGCTACTGAGCTTAGCAGGGATGGGCCTGGCCACTACTTGGTTAGGATGCTGCTAAGAAAATCCAGTGATTCCACGTCTTTACAATTCCCTTGGAGTCCGTTTTGAACCTGTGTCAAAGCAGACCTTGAACACTTTTGTCCTTTAAAGATCCTATGACAATTTTCATGAGAGTCATGGAGGAGAGTGTTGGCAACAGCCTGTCCAGGCCAAGTTCTACGCCAGAGATTTCTATGCTGCCTAACCTCCCCTGCAGCTTCATTGAATATTCTTTCCTTCCCTTCCAAAGTACCAGCTGTGTAGATTTGCTAGGATTTCCAGTTCAGTGTTACCTCTACTTAAACAGTAGTGTGAAGTACTTGGAAAGAAAGATGCTATGTACGTATGAGGTATGAAGGTTGTTCATCGGCAAAGCATAGCAGGAGTCCTCTTTGTGTAACAGTATCTGTGTCCTGAAAGCAGGTACAGTACATGCGGTAATACCTGGAGATCCTTCTTGGAAGTCAGGTATCAGTGTTGTTTCTGATCTTTGTGTCCAAATATAACACAATGCTCCTGGAATGGGTCGCTGGCAGGCATTGAACCTGACACCTCTGGGTGTAAAATCATGAGCCTCTTACTGTAGTGGACTCTCTATGTAGACTGTCCTTTAGAGGGGGATGGAGCCACGCTGTTAGTGTGGATTACATGTATATTGCATGACCACCAGCTTCATCCCTCTGCATCCTCTACCAAGAGAAGGCCTTGCATTCATCCATCCATCTCAGACGCTACCACCCCACTGCAGGACATAGGCCTACCCAGTGTTGCTCCAATCCATCATATGGAAGAGTTTGACTTCTTTATGCTTGTTTTACATTGATTGCTGTTGGCATGCACTTAGCCATCCTCTCTCACTAACCACACAGGAACACTTGTGTTTGCCAGTAACCATCATTCCTGATGGCAAACAAACTGGCTGATGCCATCCATATTACAGCCGCCTAGGGGGCGACATCACTGGCTTGTGGGTCAAATATGTCATTAATAATTAAAAAGGAAAAACAGCATTGACTGGGACAGGTTAGCCCTTGGCCCGGTGCTGGCTGTTTACAATGATTCATTATTACTAGGCCTTTCCCTTATTATGTGTACAATGACAATGTATTCTTACTTTTTTCTCAGGGATTTGAGTATGTCTGAGTTTGTCTGTGACCCAACAGCTGATCCGTATGTGTATGACCTCATTGCAGTGTCCAATCACTATGGAGCCATGGGAGTAGGCCACTGTGAGTAACTACCTGTCTCTTCTTTATCGGCAGGGAGACAGGAGGGCTGTATTTGTATGGGAAAATCGCTGTCAGGAGAGCAGTGACTCTTTCTCTCTGGGGGGTGGGGAGTCATGATGGATGGGCACTAGTGGGTGGGGATGTTGGGGCTGCAAGTTGCTCAACCCATCCCTATGTTTCGCAGCTGTAGTTCTGCCCCAAAAGCCAAGGGAGCAAATTCAATCAGAGTTTACAGCGCCCACCCCCTTAACCCCTTGGTGGTCCATGGATTGATGTACTGGGCTCCCTGTAAAGAGGCAGGCAGTAAAGGATTTGCTCCATCCCATTTAAACCTCATCAGCAACAGGAAGCAGCTAGCCATTTTATGAGCTGGGCTGCTGCATCCACACCCGGATCTGGCCATTGTGGAGGGCAGGGACTTGACTAATGAAGAAGAAATTAGGACAGTTGGTAGGACTGATCGGAAAGCTGTTTGGGCAGCATTAAATTTCAATGCTGAGATCACAACAAATGTAATGTTCAGCTATTGTTTCCTGTGCACCTTCTGTGTTTTATGGGACCCATTCTGGCAAACAGTAGAGCCATTAACCATTAAAATAGGAATAAGAATATACTGTGCAATGAAACTGGTTAGTAAAGCTGCTTCTAGAATCTGAACTTCCGCTGTTCCTCACTCTGGTGCTTACTGTGCTATGTGATGCAGTGTTTAGTTTTTTGCATTTTTATTATCCTTGTCTCAAAAACAAAAAGAGAAATATATGGAAGGACTTGTTTTGTGCTGTGCAGGGACATGGCTGGCTTTTCCAGTGGAGGCTGTACATTCCTTTCATCAGCAAATGCTCACATCTGTGTGCAGCACTTGTAGACTTAAGAAAGCTCTATTGCACATGATCAGCACCCCGTGAGACTGAGAGCAGGATGGAATTTACAGGATTCAAAAGAAGATTGGCCTTCTGTATGTACAACAAGGAAAACCACAGTTAGCATTAGATTAGGATTATTTTAAAACATAAATTTGGAGTGGGTATAAGCCCTCTGCTCGAGGGCAAAAGCCAACCACTGACTGAAGGATCAAAGAGAAATGTAAGTTTCTTACTCCCTCCTCTGAAGCATTTAGGATAGGCCACTGTTCAGAACAGGTCTGTGGACTAGATAGACCTAGCCTCTGATCCACTGTGTTCCCGTGTTACTGATATCGCTTCTGAGCAATGAAACCCAAGCTCTTTCTCTTCCCCCGCACGCTTACTTTGTACCTCTTATAGATGGAGTTATCAGAATTGAGTGTCATCGGGGTATTACAGTTACACTAGTGAGCGCTGTGCCTTACTGCTGAATGTAGATAGCCACTCTGTTTGTGTGACAGATACTGCATATGCAAAGAACAAAGTGAATGGCAAATGGTACTACTTTGATGACAGCAGTGTATCAATGGCTTCTGAAGATCAAATAGTGGTGAGTACTTGGACTCAGACTAATTCAAGATGGGGGAAGTCCCCAGATATACAACCCAGGAACATGCTGGGATGGACCCAGATGTTTTCTGCCTCTATTAATCAAATCATCGTAAATGCAGGCTAGAATCTGCTGTGGATTGAGGTCAGATTCAAGCTGACAATGCTGTGAAGGAGCAGCAGACTTTGTGTTGCTGAAGTTGCTCTATGTGTTTTGGAGTGAGTCGAACATCCCTTCCTGCATGAAAAGCCATTGGAGGGGATTTTCTTTTGTTACAAGGACATCTCTGCAAAGATTCCCTGGCTGAGGTTCCTGCTAAAACACCTTTGGGTGGAGGGGCTGGCTTCTCAGAGCAAAGCCTGAATGGCTTGCCCCTGAGCCTGATAAGCTACAGTCTTCCCAGGATCTGTGGGGTGGGTACCAGGGCTGTCCAGCTCTGCACAGACAGTGGGGAAGAGAGGGCAGTAAGGTGATATGAAAGCATTTCCTGGATTGTTTCTCTTGTTATAGATATTGAAGCTCCATAAATCTCTACATACAGCTATATTACAAGCCATGCTTCCCTCTAGGCCTCCAGCCTCCACATGAGGCAGAGAAGTACTGAGCTGCCCCATTGGGAGTCTGCGATAGGTTATCTCCTGCATCATCAGCTTTCCAGAACTGTGCTTCGTGGATGGTTTCTTTTCCTCAGATTGGTTTTCTTTCCTTGTTTGGCAGACGAAAGCTGCATATGTGCTATTCTATCAGCGGCGGGACAGCAAGAAGCACGTAGCCCCATCTCTTCCTGCAGAAAGTAAGCTGGCATTGGAAGAGTGTGATGGCATGGATACCAACTGAGCCCAGCCTGCTGCGCTCGGACTGCTCGGTAGTGTTCTCTGTTTGACGCCATGTCTGGAGCATCTGATAGTTGCTGTTCTGCCTTCCGTAGGATTCTCAAGCAGGAAATCTAGTGTTGGGGGCTTAGTGCCTGGTGTTGTAAGATAGCACTGGGGAGCCAAGAATGAGCTGACGTGGGGTATTTAGAGGCCAAAAATTATATATATCAAAGCTTCAATAAAATTTTTGTAAATCTGTCTGGACTGTGTGGCTGGGAGCTGGGGAAGGAGAGGCTTGGGCTGGGCTGAGTTGTGGGGCTGGAGCTGGGGCCTGGGGCAGAGAGGGTGGCTGCAGGGTGTTGCAGAGATGACAGAGGTGTCATTTGGGCATGAATGCTATTCCTGTGGTGTGCCAGTTGCCAGCTCTGTGTGTAGCTGTCAGGCACAGTCCAGATTTTCTCTGTCTAATCTCATCAGCCTTAGTGTCCGGAATTCCTGCTATGGCTCCAGCAGTGCCTCTTACACACTCCCCAGTCCATGTGGCCACAGCTCCTGGTGTCGCTCTTCTTCTTTCTGCCTTTGCACCTTTTTTCCTGTGCTGAGCAGCTGGGTGCATTTGCTCTGGTCCCTGGCTGCTGGTGACATCTTTGACTATTCTGGGCAGCTGAGCCATGGGCCTTTCCCACATTCAGACATATCATTTTGGTCCCAAAAAAGCAGAAAATTCATTGGAAATGAAATGCAGCACCCCTGGCCACGTGGAGAGAGCTGTACTCTGATTGCAAAATATACACACTCCTGTGTGTACGATAGGATTTCAGCTCTGGCTCCCACTCTTAGCACAATCACAGGGTGAGGTCTTGGCCTTTGAGACCTAAATTCAGCCAGGTCTTGTACTATTAATTCATATTTCACAGTCCTTTGTGCCAGTTCCCATGGAAACCTGCTGATGATCCCTAGACTGACAACCCCCTGATTGTTTGTCCCCACCCCCCACACCCCTGTGAAACCTTGGGGGTTCTGTGCACCAGTGATCACAGCTTCCATGTGATCTCCACCTGCTGCTGTGTAGACGGCCTTACATACCACCCTCCCAGATGCTAATCCTTCCCAGGAGCTGGCCCAGTCAGAAAGTGGCCTCGCTCCAGTCCAGCCCTCCCCGGTGCTAACTCTTCCCTCTCCCCATTGCTGTCCACACTGGTTCCATGCCAGTGCCACCCCATACAGGCACTGCCAGCTGCCCAGGCCTCCCATTTGTTTATTTCCTAGAAGTTAAAAGGGAGGGAGGAAAGGCCCCGTGTGGGAATGCAGTACAGGATTAAAGCTGCATTCGCTAGGTTTGCTGTAAAGGAGAAGGGAGCTGCTGTATGCCCAGCCCTCTGGTTAGCATTGCGCTGCTGCTCGGCAGAGCGGTTCTTTTAAAGCACTGAGGTTTGAGTTGTTTAGCTCATAATTGCTGATGCTTCTGCTGTTTGGTTCTTGGTTTGTTTGGGTTTTTACACCTGGCTTAAGTGGATATTATGTTTCTTTTCTTTCCCCCTCACTAGGGGCTAAGTTTGAACTGTAGCACTGCACTGGTTTTTTTGTTTAGCATCTTTGATTGTGGGTTTTCCACCCCCTTCAAGTAAAAATTTGGGGAGACAGTGGGGAAAAAAAGTAAGAAAAGATCCTGTTAAAAATGAAGAACAATATAATGTAACAAATGTGCTTCCTTTTCTATATCGACACAAGAAACCTTGCCACTTTCCTTTGTATGGTCAGACTGAAAAGGCATCCATCGGGCTGAAGGCTGATTCTTGGATGCTGAATTGAAATCTCTTCTAATATACTGCAGTAAAAAGGGTGACAGGAATCTGGCCTTCTTCTCTGCCTGTCAGCTGATTGGGTTCTGATTGGTGTGTACATTGTGTATAATGTCAAATCTGTTTTTAGACTGGCACTTTGTAAGTGACTGACTTTATTGTACAAAGAGGAAATAAAGAAGAGTGGTTTGCACTGAATTGGGGCTTTCTAGTGTCCTCAACCTTGCTTCTGTGAATTCGGATCAGAATGAATAGGTCACTGCTCTAAGACACAGGCTAGTTCGCAGGGGACTTCCCCTGGGAAGAGGCTGAAAGGTAGGAGTGGAATGCTGGTACCACAAGGAGTTCCAGCTTATCTCCTACTTACTGATCCCCCAAGCACAGGTGGGCCACATGAAGTGCACACACTGCTACCATAAGAATGACCATATGGGAGCAGACCAAAGGTCCATCTAGCCCAGTGTCCTGTCTTCCAACAGTGCCAATGCCAGGTGCCCCAGAGGGAACGAACAGAACAGGTAATCATCAAGTGATCCATCCCTTGTCAGCCAGCTGGACCAGTTCAGGATCTGTGTACTTCTGTGCAGCTGATCTGCACCAGATCGCCAGAAACAATTCTTATATGCTGTCAGGTTTAATTCCTATGTTTGGATTTTTGTCACTTTTGGAACAATGAAGGTTTAAATCTCCTATCAAAATGAGGATTTTGCGACAGCCTTCTTATGGCATCACTACTGCTCCACTGTTGTGAGAGGGTGATCGCGATATTCTGGGCTACCATGAAAAAATGTCATTAACTCCCTCAGTAACCATGTTGCTACTCAAAAACCAGTGATTAGCCCAAACTCATAAGCTCTTAGCACCGCCTTCAAAGAGATCTGGGTCTGAGTGCAGAGAGGGATTTGGCTGACTGTTTCTCCATCAATTTAATGTGTGATGGTGGATTTTGGTTTTTGTGGCAGTACAGACTATGGCTGCTTCTCATCTCCTTAGCCAAATTAACCAAGTCTTGCCTATCATATTGGACTATTCATGGCCTTTGGGGCAGTGTACCCTCTATTTTTTTCTATGCATATGCAGAATGAATTTTATGTACACCAATATGGAGGTGATGTGTGAGACATCACCTCCATATTGGTGCACATAACAAAATTCATGTGGCGGGGGTGGTGCTGAGGAGTTCAGAGTGTGGGAGGGGGCTGAGGGGAAGGGGGAGGGCTCCAGCTGGGGGTGTGGGCTCAGGGGTGGAGCTGGGGATGAGGGGTTCAGGGCTGGGGCAGAGGGGTTAGGGTGTGTGGGGGTGCATGAGGGCTCTGGCTGGGAATGAGGGCTCTCGGGTGTGGCTGAAGGGTTCAGGGTGCAGGAGGGGGCTCAGGGCTGGGCAGAGGGTTGGGGTGTGTGCGGGGGTGAGGGCTCAAGCTAGGACTGTGGGATCTTGGATGGGGCCAGGGATGCGGGGTTTAGGGTGCAGAGTGCCCTGGGGCTACAATGGGGGTGAGAGAGGACTCCCTCCAGCTCTCTCTCCCTGCAGCAGCACCTGGGCTGTGGGGGTATAGGTGCCTCTCCCCACCACAGCAGCTCTGAGGCTGGGGTTGTGGGAGAGGCACCTCTTTCCCAGCAGCGGCAGGTCCAAGGTTGGGGGAGAGGCATCTCTCCCCATCGCAGCACTGAGCGCCTGCACAGCACTTAATAGGCTGCGATGCAGCTGCACAGCTTAGAGGGAATTTAGCTATGGGGTTTTCTGTAAGGTCTTCTCTACACACAGATTTGCACTGATTATACTTAAACCAAAATCAGTACCCACACAGAAGTTTGCATGGGATTAGCTAACCTGCTTTAAGAATGGCTTATTTTGGTTTAGACCCAGGCTATGTCTACACTGGCAACTGAATGACAAAACTTTTGTCTTTCAGAGGCGTTTAGCACCCCACCCCCACCCCACAAAGACACAAGTTTTCCACGATAAGCACCCATGTGAACAGCACGTTGTCATCCTGCCGACGATGCAAACGCTGCTCGTTGGGGATGGAAGTTTTTTGTCAGCAGGAGAACCAACCAACAGTGGCTACGCTGCATGATTTTTAGCGGCGTGGCTGTAAGCTGTGCAGTGTAGACATAGCCTAAACCTGTTCCCGATGAACTTCAGCTAAGCCACGCTCAGCCTGCTTTAAACAGAACTCGGAGCATGCATACGGGTTTGCAACACTACAGCATGCTGCCTTTCGGTACACTGATATGACCCAGTAAAAAACACAAGCCCTTGGTTCCCCAGTTTGATTCCTGCTTGCATAGCCCAGAGGTGGGAGAGGTGCCAGCTGCCAGCCTGTCTCTGCTTTGAGCATGGGAGTTGCACTCTGTCATCCCACTGGGAGAGGCTGGCACAGGCTCCAGCCCACTCCCCACAACCAGAGGAAGTGCTGCCCACCCACAGGGTCTCCCAGGGGGCAGCATGGAGTCTGTGATGGAAGAAGCAACCTCCAGCTGCAGAATAGTCTGAATAGGCAGCAGTCCTGGCCTGGATTAATCAGCCCAGTTTAGGAGCCTAGAGCCAAGTCAACCCTATGACCCAGAAGATTCTGAAGAAGCCTCACATGTTGGGGCTGTCCCGGGCATCCTCATGTTTCTGCTATCTAGTCTCCAGGGCCTGCTTGCTGCTGCCACTGAAGTGGCACTGACCAAAGGTTTGACCAGTCGCACTAATGATGTCTTTTGCTCTCCCCAGACACGCCCTTCAAGTTGCAGTGGGGGAGGTTTAGATTGGATATTAGGAAAAACTTTTTCACTAAGAGGGTGGTGAAACACTGGAATGCGTTACCTAGGGAGGTGGTAGAATCTCCTTCCTTAGAGGTTTTTAAGGTCAGGCTTGACAAAGCCCTGGCTGGGATGATTTAACTGGGAATTGGTCCTGCTTCGAGCAGGGGGTTGGACTAGATGACCTTCAGGGGTCCCTTCCAACCCTGATATTCTATGATTCAGGGAAGGGAGAAGTCTCCTGCTAAGAGGCAGGGGCTGTCTGCCTGAAGCAGCCACAAGAGTCTCTGAGGAGGATTGCATTAGGCATGTGTTCTCTGCTTTGGCCACCTCCCCTATAAGAGGAGTGACACCAAAGGCTTGCCCCTGTTTCTGGGGGAGCAAGGCCAGGAGAAAATGCTCCCAGTGCATCCTTTGGCACAAAAGATCCTTGAACTGGAGCTTGTGTCCTGCAGTAGATAGAAAACAATGGCAAGTAGAGAGAGGCTGTGGGGGAGCGGTCATGGCCTGAGACTGCAGAAGAGCATCATGCAGAGCTGCCTTCTGAGACAACCTCAGGCAGGCAGTACTGTGCTTTTGTGTGCAGGTGAACTAGCTTCATAATAAATGCCTTAAACATGACACAGGAGAGAGGAGCCTGGTCAGGAAGCCACAGATGGAATGATGGCAAAGGACAGACACCACGTTTGATTATGTGATGGGGTTGCCTGTGATAGCAGGAGATGGACGTGATGAGCCAGGGGCTCCCTTCCAGCCCTGTCCCTGTTATGTGTGTTCCCATAGTACCTAGAGGCCCCAGCCAAGATACAGTCTTTGCCCTAAAACCCTTTTCTATTTAGAGAGAGGCAGTGACTGGGCCAAGGTCATGCAGCAGGGCAGAGCTGGGGCCAGAACCCAGGTTTCCTGTGTTCCAGTCCAGTGCATTGGTCATTGAACTTTGCTGCCTCTTGTGACACTAACGTTGGGTGCTGGAAGGATAGTGGGGTGAGAGGGATGGGGGAGGATGGTCTGGAAAGATAGTGTAAGAAGGGAGGCCATGGGATGAGCCCTGAGATGGCAGTGAGGAGAAGGGTGGGACAGTTGAATTCCCCAGGAATGCTGGAGAAGCAGTTGGAGAGATCAGAGAATCACAGAAAGGATGCGGAGCAGTGAATATGATGGGGACAGGTACTGACCTGCAACAGAACAACCTGCAATCATAGTAAGCTGGGCTCACTGCAGCAACATACACTTCAATAGAGCCAAGTAAAAGGTCACACATCTAGGAACAAAGCATGTAGGTTCCACTTACAGGATGGGGGACTATATCCTGTATAGGAATGACTCTGAAAAGGACTTGGGAGTCACAGTGGAAACCAGCGAAATATGAGCTCCCAGTGGAATATGGTGGCTGAAGGTGCTGTTCAGGTGCATAAACAGAAGAATCTCATGTGGGAGGTGATATTCCCTCTGCATACAGCCATTGGTGAGGCCATTGTAATATTCTGTCCTGTCCAGTCCACACTTCAAAAAGGGTATGAAAGGAAATTGAAAACGGATCAGAAAAGAGCTACAGGAATGATTTGAGGTCTGAAAAACCTGCCTCACAAGTGAGATGCTTGAGCTCAATCTATTTAGTTACTCCAAGAGAAGATTAAGAGGTGATCTGATCACAGTGTATATTTGTGTGTACCTATATGGGGAGATATTTGGGTGTACAGAGCTTTTGATAAACTTTGGTCTTTAAAATTAACGTACATGAACTGAGAAAATACTGTAACCCCTTTGGGGAGGTAGTTGCTTTGTGTGGATTTGCAGCGAGAGGCAGAAGAGGGCACCTGAGAGGTTTGTTGGGGAAAGTTCACTGGTGCCAGAGATGACCAGGAGCACATAAGACTCGCCGCTGGACTGGAACTCTGCCAGGATTCCTGAACTCTCGTGCAAATGTAGTGCTCAGCGTCCATCCTTTTATGTTGTGATAGCACTGGGCCATTGGGGCCTCTTGTTGGATGTAAGCCTGCTCCACCACTCCCTCATCTTCTCCCTCTGTTGCTTTTTTTCCATTCATCCCTCTCTACATCAGTATTCCTTCTTTGAGTGCTGTCCCTGTGGGTGCTCCATTCCAAGTGACGGTGCGTCCCGGTGCTGTTGATTGGAGATCTTAGATAGCAGTGCCTGGCTGGGCTGTGCGTGCGCAGCTGCTATCTCGCGGAACTGAGGGAGTCAGGCTGTGCATGCGCTGAACAGACTCAAATAATGCTGTGAGACAGCAGCTGTAGACATGTGGCCTGACCAGGCACTGCTTCCGAAATTCTCCCATCAATGGCGCCAGGACACACCGTCACCTGGAGTGGAGCACCCACAGGGGGACACATCTTGAAGAATCTCAGTTACTGCCAAGGTGAGTAACCTTCTCTTTATATTAATTGTACTATTGATGGGGGAGGGGGCTTACCTCTGGGGGTTTG